CCCAAGATCCCGAGAAGAGAATGGAGGAGAAGGGATTGCAGCGTGACCATCCCCCCTGAGGGGTGATTTCTTGCTTTCTGTCTCTCTGTCTCTGTCTGTCTGGCGAGCGCACGTGCCTTATAGCAAAAACCTCTCCAAAAAAAAATAAAACAAAACGTAGTAGTGTGATTTACATTCTCATTTTATCTGTTAAAGCTTTCAAAACCACATAAAAAGATTGAGGAAGTAATCAATTCTTTTCTATTACTGAGGTACAATGAGGTTGAAAATTTAGTTTGAATATTGCATTGACATTGGCTCATTTATTTTAGATTTGAGTACTAGGATGAAATTATCAAAAAAAGAAATTGCTGTTTCAGGGAGTATGCTTCTCAACGTTTGAAGAGTAGAGAGCGGGTGTTTTGAGAAACATTTTGTTTCATGTCACTTGTGATGGATATCAAATATGTTTTATTTGACTCTTGAACCTTTAAAGTCCAAGCTTTATTTATTCTTTATGGTATGGGATAGTCAGACTATTTAACCAAACTAGAATTGTTTTTAGTTGCATTTTTATTGATAGTCAAGAGTTCCTTATATTTTTAAGGTGATTGTACTTAAAAGAAGTAAACATTTCTTAACACAATATTCTTTCCAATGTTATCTGATTCTCTTCTGCCTCAGGTACTAACAGGTACTTCAGGCAGGTGGCTGCTGAATTTGGATTAAAGATTTCTTTTGTTGATTGTTCCAAAATCAAGTTGCTAGAGGCAGCAATTACACCAGAAACCAAGGTAACTCAGCTAGTTTTCAGTTTTGTCTGTTTTCAATATTTCTATTTTTTAGAGAATGTAATTTAAATATGAACAACAAATTTTAGTAGAAGTCACTGGAAACATCAAGTTTCTGTAGTAGAATTCAAATTCAGATTCTGTTTAGTAGCTGGTATATTATTTTTGGGCAAATGATTTAAACAAAGTTTTAGTTTCTTCATTTGTAAAACGAGGATAATCGTACCTACTTTATAGTTAAGTGGTTGTGAGAATTAAATGAGATAATATGTGTGAAATACTTAGTACTGTTTCTGAGTGCATGGTAATCATTTTTAGAAATGTCTACACAAGAGGACACCGTTCTTGTTATTAAGTTCGTTTTGGTAATAAAAAGGCATTGCAGAGATTGGGTTATAGAAAAGGAAGCCCGCTAAGCCCCCAAACCCAAGCACAGCGGCTTTTTCAGGGTTCTGAGGGACACTGCTGCAAACAATAGACTTAGAGAAGGGCCACAGGCAATCTTGACCCGCAGTCCTGGGAAGCCTGTATGCCACCGGAAGGTGTTTTGTGCCTGAGTGAATGGCATATGTGATATTCTTTCTTGGGACCTCATTTAAATTCTGCATGAGTAAAAGAAGGACCAGTGTCTTTTATAAGTCAGCCTTTTCCAACTTTTTGTTAATGATGAAAAGGTTAGAATCGTACCCAAATTATGTTGCAGCGAATGCTAAAAGATCAAAATCTTTTCTCACAGAAATAATTATTTTGCTGCCGAACACATGGATGAGCTTTTGGTGGTTAAGGTTTGTTTTCAAAGGAGCTTGTTTTTTATCTTGCTTGAGAGAAAAAAAACAACTTATTAAAATAACTGCCTGGGTCCTTCTAAGGGAGGAAAGCAGATTTTGAGTGTATTAAGTCTTGTCAACAGAACTTTATATATTGTCTCTCTTCATGGACTGAAGTGAATACATGCCCCTGCAAAATATCAGATTCTCATCATTTGAGGTAAAATCTACATTGTGGTATATCATTTGATGTAAAATATCCCAGAAACCAAGGTAACTCAACTAGTTTTCAGTTTTGTCTGTTTTCAATATTCCTATTGTAGTTATTTACTTATTTAAATTAAAACAATTTTTTTTCAATGAAAATTATATATTTTTACCCAGGGATTTTTTTATGGAGTCTTTAAATAATTCAAGATTTTTGTAGTATCCATTATTTTAACCACCTTATCTTTTCTACAGTACAACTATACTAGGAAAAATATTAAACCAGATCTCTTACCTATTTATGTAGACAATAAAAAAAATGAGTCTTTTTTCCAAAGAAAGCTGTAGATAATGTAATGCAGTACAATGACACTTTAACAAATAGAGTTTTTCCCTTTTCTTTGGTCTTTTCACTATGTGCCTGGATTGTGTTAAGTTTTGGGCTATACAGGTATATCTTACTGTCTCTAATGAAGTATAATCAACCTTTCTCTTTTGAACATCACGTCTCTCCTTCATTATAAGGCCCATGCCCTTTAAGTCCTAAGTACTTATTTATAGTTTCTAAAGCATTTGGCATTTCTTAATTTAATATTAAGTATATTTTTGTTATTATAGGAATAATCTCCTAATGAAAACCCTTACTCAATGTCTCCTATTTATCTTCAAGAATTAAATTTCAAACACTGACCTATGTCTTTAGAATACATACTTGTTTTTATGGAAAACACTTGAAATAATTAACGTTAGCACTTTCTGCTTATAGAAACATTATTTCTCTTGATCCTTACAATAACTCTGTAGGATCAATTGTACCGACCACAATATATAGATAAAGAATTTGAGGAGTATAGAGGATAACTTAACCTTTCACCTTTCAGAAAATTGTAAAAGAGGCTAGAATTCAGATTTGAACCTTCCAACTTCATCATTTGGGCATTTTCATTGTATAAGGTAGCCTCTCAAGTTGTGACAGATATGACGTGTGTTTGTGAAGTATATTCTTACAGACTATTGCTATTTACTGAATTATTTTAGCTTGTTTGGATCGAAACCCCCACAAACCCTAAATTGAAGATGATTGACATCGAAGCCTGTGCACATACTGTCCATAAGCATGGAGACATTATTTTGGTTGTGGATAACACTTTTATGTCAGCGTATTTCCAGGTAAATGAAAATACATTTTGTTTTTTATATGATTAGTAGACCACACAGAGATCTGTAATGAGAAAAGGAAGTACTTATTTACATTAAAATCATAATCAAATTCATGAAATCTAATCATAATTGTTGCTTAGATGAATAATTAAGTTTGGACCATTTCTACTGTTATTAATGTCATTTCAAACTTATGTTGATTATTGCATGGTGCTTTGTAGTCTTTAAATGTCATCTCGATGAAAACTTTCTGGTTTTCTAAGGACATATAAACTCTCCGAAGACATGGCATGATGTGATTGTATCTGCCAGAGTCCTACAAATAGGAGGGACTTAGATGTTTGTGTGTTGATTGCAGATTGGTCATGTTATTTTTCAGTTACACATCTAGTATTTTTATATGTACAAGATGATAAAATACACTTTGTATTTTATATGTATTTTTATATGGTTTATACATACACATACACACACACACAACACACACCTTTTTTCTTTTTTTTACCCAGCTAACCTTCTAAGTAAAAGCTATACACAACGACATTTCAGTATCTGTCACACATGTTGTTTTGCCATTTCTCTTTTTTCTTTCTAGCTTTCCTTCCTTCAGTACCCCATAGACTATACCTGCCCTTTGTATCTTTAACTTGGGTGTACTATGAATTTCTACTTCATTTGTTTTACATTACAATCATATTTAGAGTTCTTCTATCTTGTTCTGTTTGGATTGCTATTACAAAATACCATAAACTGGGTGTCTTATAAACAGAAATTTGTGTCTCACAGTTCTAGAGGCTGGAAAGTTCAAGATCAAGGCATCAGCAGATTACAGTTGGTATCTGGTGAGGGCACGCTTTCTAGTTTACAGGCAGTACTTTCTCACTGGGTCCTCACATGGAAGAGACAGCAACTCTATGGGGCCTCTTTTCTAAGGACGCTAACCCCTTTCATGAGAGCTTTGCCCCCACAACCTTATCACCTTCCAAGCCCACCTCCAATACCATCGCATTGGGAATTAGGCTTCAGTGTGGGAATTTTGGAGGCAAACCCTTGGACCACAGCAGCTCCCTTTGGACAATCTTTTCCTGTCTACCGTTCTACATTTATTTCCTCCCCAGTTTAATCCTCCATACAGATTCCATTTCTTTTCTTTATTTTTCTTCCCTGAGTTCTTCTTTTCTGTTTTATTCCTTTTGTAGATCATGTTGGGATTTCTTTATAATTGACTTGTCATCTGCCTCTCCCCCACATCTGCTCCCTCTCTTTCCTGTGAGTAGCCTAACTCTGTTTCCTTTCCTTGTTAAGAGTTACCTTCCCTTTGCTCCTCTCTTCCTGCTTATACTTCCTGCCTAGTGTACTTCCTGTAGTTTGCCTTTATTCTGCAGAATTCTTGAAACCCAGCTCGTTTTTCCAGCTTTTCAATTAGACAGAGGTTTACAGGTTCAGTTGTTTACATTTACCCACTTCTGTTTTGAAGTTGACTCAGGCTGCTGCCTCCATGTGACTGGTCAGCTCTCTAGCAGTTTGCTTAAACCTTTTCTTCACCTTCCTCCCTTTTAGTTGAAGGAACCCCTATGTTTTATTTTCCTTTCCTGAAACATGCTTCCTGGCTACATTGCATTCAACTAGCTTCATAGCTTCTACCTCTGACTCATTACATCTTTGGTTGTTTCTTATACCAGGTAAAACAACCTGTTTTCATGTGAAAATCTTCTGTCACCCTCTATTAGTCCTGCGTGATTTTCAGTCTTAGATTCCTTACCCCATCTCCTTAACCCATATGCTACTTACATTACGCCAGTTAACACACCATAGGGTTTCTTTAGCTGAGTCATAATGAGTCCTATGTATTCCCCAAAAGATTGCATGAATGTTTTAGTCTAGACCTGCCCAGGTTACTCATCAGGCCTGGCCTTCCTTCTCCTGTTACTGTCACTAAAATAGGTCCAGTTTTTCTACCTTTCTGAAGCCCACATCAAATTTCTCATGACGAGGATTAGAATTTCCTTCATTTCTGTTTGTATTTATTCCAATTGAATTAATCATAACTACATCATCCTTAGGCAGCCACGTGTATTGGTTCCACAAAGCAGATCTCCTGAAAAGATCTTATCATTGTTTTACCCTTACCCAAACTGAATACATTCTCTTTCTTTTCTATCTTTCATTTATTAGATCTTCAGTAAGTCTAAGAAAAGGCAAAATGGACATACCAGTACAGAGTTTCAGATTAATGCCTCTGGAATCAGCCAGCCTTGGTATGAGTCCTGGCTCTACCAGGCTTTTAATCTGAGTGATCTATCCTGTTTTTCTTAGTTTCTTTTCATCTGTACAGCAAAAGCTATAACATGTTTTGATATTATTGAGTTAGGTAAATTATTTTCTACAGTGCTTTACTCAGTTATATAAAGTATTTAGCATGGTTCTTGGCACATAATGAGGTCAACAGATAGTAGTTAATGGTTTTTATTTTTTCTTTTTTGGCCATAGAGTTTATGGAATGTAGGCACTAAAAGAAACCTTAGATGTCATCTTCTTTGATCCCACCACTCTTAGAGATGAGCAAACACATATGTAGAGAGTACTTTGGGCAATGCCTTACTTAAAATATTTTATTTTTGAAATTCCTTGAATGAAAAAGTCCCATAGCCCCTACACTAATTCCTTTTAGTGGCTAAACTACTCTAGTGATGTCAACATACACACACACTTTTATTTGAAAGAAAATGTATATGAAAATGTATTGATAATATATTGATTACTAGATAAGTACATTATGACTCTAACTCTCACTGTAAACAGGCATTGTACTAAAGGATTAATTTGCAGGAAAACTAAATGAGAGAAAACAATCCAAAAAACCTTTTTTATAAGTGACTTCACACTTGGCAAAACTGGTATAATAAAAGAAAAATTAGAAGTCGAGATCGTAACAAACCAAGTGTGAATCATCACAGCATTCATCAGAAGGTTTTAATGATTAAAAAATCTAAGCAGTTTATACTTACTTGATATAAAAATTGCTGCATATTTATGTCAACTATTATATATTTTAATGAGTCATAAAATGTCAGTGTCTCTGCTGTAGGTAGTGTGTTTAGGAGCTAGTCAGTAACCAGTACAGAGAAACAAGTTCAGGAGACTTGTTGACTTGGATTTATCTGTTATTTCCACAGAACTTGTGTTTCAGTTTAGATTCTGGGTTCCACCTGTCATATTTTTATTTGGTTGAGGGAAAGGCAAGGTAGAATCAGAGATCCTGAGACATTTTAAGAGGCACATATTTTTGCAAAATGACTATGAGTTAGAATGGGAATGGGGCCCAGCCTTGTAGTGCAGTCCATAGATTACTACTGGAAGCAATAATTGCACTACCGAAAGCCACAAGTAGGTTCGGAGTTCTAGGTTGGCATGAAAGTACACTGGGCACACATGCAGGTGCCCAGGATCCTGATCTGCTGGAGAACTGGGAAAAGGGAGTCATGATGTGATGAGACCCTGTTAAGGTTGCTTCTTTCTCTCTCTCTTGGGCACGCACACTCTATAAAAAAAAACAAGTCTGTAATTATTTGCTTTATTAAAAAAAGATTTAAAAAAGGAAATAGGAGTGGAATGTACAATTCTAAATAGACATGTAATAAAATGTATTTTAAAATGATTTCTTATTAGAAATTAAAAAAAAAAACCACTACCTTTTGTTTCCTTCAGAGGCCTTTGGCTCTGGGAGCTGATATTTGTATGTATTCTGCAACAAAATACATGAATGGTAAGATATGCAAAGTCTGCACTTTTAAGGTTCTTTTCCATGGATTAGTAAAAATAGCATAGGGTTGATATTGTGGTCTCTTTTCTTCTACTGTCATTGAAGTATTTTTTTGTGTGTGACTTATGTAAAAAATTATACTTTGATTAAATATAGGATTTCATTTATAGTAAACAAACCTATGCTCATGCTTATGAGAAGGTTAAAAACTTACTATGAAAAGTTATTCTTTTATCCTGTTGACAGCTTAAAAAGAAATATTTAGTTTTTAAACCAAGTGTGAATCATCACAGCATTCATCAGAAGGTTTTAATGATTAAAAAATCTAAGCAGTTTATACTTACTTGATATAAAAATTGCTGCATATTTATGTCAACTATTATATATTTTAATGAGTCATAAAATGTCAGTGTCTCTGCTGTAGGTAGTGTGTTTAGGAGCTAGTCAGTAACCAGTACAGAGAAACAAGTTCAGGAGACTTGTTGACTTGGATTTATCTGTTATTTCCACAGAACTTGTGTTTCAGTTTAGATTCTGGGTTCCACCTGTCATATTTTTATTTGGTTGAGGGAAAGGCAAGGTAGAATCAGAGATCCTGAGACATTTTAAGAGGCACATATTTTTGCAAAATGACTATGAGTTAGAATGGGAATGGGGCCCAGCCTTGTAGTGCAGTCCATAGATTACTACTGGAAGCAATAATTGCACTACTGAAAGCCACAAGTAGGTTCGGAGTTCTAGGTTGGCATGAAAGTACACTGGGCACACATGCAGGTGCCCAGGATCCTGATCTGCTGGAGAACTGGGAAAAGGGAGTCATGATGTGATGAGACCCTGTTAAGGTTGCTTCTTTCTCTCTCTCTTGGGCACGCACACTCTATAAAAAAAAACAAGTCTGTAATTATTTGCTTTATTAAAAAAAGATTTAAAAAAGGAAATAGGAGTGGAATGTACAATTCTAAATAGACATGTAATAAAATGTATTTTAAAATGATTTCTTATTAGAAATTAAAAAAAAAAAAAACACTACCTTTTGATTCCTTCAGAGGCCTTTGGCTCTGGGAGCTGATATTTGTATGTATTCTGCAACAAAATACATGAATGGTAAGATATGCAAAGTCTGCACTTTTAAGGTTCTTTTCCATGGATTAGTAAAAATAGCATAGGGTTGATATTGTGGTCTCTTTTCTTCTACTGTCATTGAAGTATTTTTTTGTGTGTGACTTATGTAAAAAATTATACTTTGATTAAATATAGGATTTCATTTATAGTAAACAAACCTATGCTCATGCTTATGAGAAGGTTAAAAACTTACTATGAAAAGTTATTCTTTTATCCTGTTGACAGCTTAAAAAGAAATATTTAGTTTTTATATGACTTCTGTTTTATTAAGTATAGCTTTTACTGCTGTCAAATTTGGTACCATGTACTTAAACTTATTTAAGACGGCTTGTTCCCTTAGAGTCCTTTCAAGTGAAAGGCAAGTTTTGGAAATTATAAAATGAAGAATAAATGTAAATTGTTTTTAACTTAAATGTTTTGCTTTGTTTTAGGCCATAGTGATGTTGTAATGGGCTTAGTGTCTGTTAATTCTGAAAGCCTACATAACAGGCTTCGTTTCTTGCAAAATTGTAAGTATTAACAAGTCCTTATTCCCTGTTAAGCAATTAGTGACATTTGATATTTGTATTTTTACTAAATGTTGTGAAATGGTGGCATTTTTTAAAGAATTATTTATGTAATATTATTTATTATTATTTTTTAAAAATTCACTATAGAGGATATGCACTCATCACATAAGAGAGAGAAAGTGAGAAAGCAAGTCACAAGGTCTGGGACTCAAACTGTGGTAGGTCGTATAGGAGTCCAATGCCTTAACCACCATGCCACCTGCTAGCCCTTGAAGTGATAGCATTCTCATAATTTAGGAAAAAATGAGAAATAGGATAAAAATTCTGATTTTTAGAGGAAGGTAGAAAAAGTAGAAAAAAAATTGAGTTATAAAAATATTACTGGGTCAGCCATTGGCATGGTGGTTGGAGTATCTGGATCCCAAATGGCTGGCTGGGCAGTTTGAATCCAGACCTGGTGTCTTCAGAAACATGCTGAGTGCATGTGTGTGTGTGTGCCCCAAATCCCAAAATGAGGGAGAAATGGAGGACAAGGGATTGCATTGTGACCATGCCCAGCGTGTGTGGGGGGGCTTTATCATTTACCCGTTCTCTTTCTCTGTTTCTTTCCAGGAAGCTCATGTGCCCTTTGGCAAAAAAAAACTAAACTGAACTAAACTAAACTAAAATACTGTTATAGAATGTCAAGGCTTTACAGCATGATGTAAACAATAAATTTCATTATTTTATCCATTTTTTAAAAGAGATTTTTGCTATAGTGTAAGTGTATAGAAAGTGAAAAATTATCCCCCCGGGTGGGATGGCAATGCTGTAATCCCTTCTCCATTCTCCTCTCAGGATTTTGGGCATGCACGAGCATGTGCCCTGAGTGAGTTTCAAGTGCCCTGGTCTGGGACTTGAACCGTTGTCAGTCATGTGGGAGTCCAGCAACATAACCACTATGCCATCTGCTGGTCCAAGTTTTGTTATTTTTATGTTTGTGTGAATTTTAATCATAATTTGGTAAAGCTCAAGGGAATTTTGGCTTTAACACTTATATATGTTGAGTTTCTTTCTTTTTTTTTTTTTTTTAAAGCATTTTAAATGATGGCTTTTATATTCTGTACCTGGAATGGCTATTCATTTTAAATGGCATTTAAGGTATAAACTTACATTTTTCAACAGATGTCTAAATACTATTTCCTGTTTTTATTGCTTAGTTTGTCTCAAATATGGATTAAGCTTTAACTGACTGTTAAGATACAAACACACATTAAACTAAAAATGCCCTTCTAGAAAATAAGTATTAAAATAATAAAAAGGGATGCTGAGGAGGGAAACCAGTACTTATTGCTTGATAAATGTCCTTTCATTTATAAAATGTAGAAATGAGTTGTGTATCCTGGAGGCATGTGAAATCACAGGCATCTGTAGACAAAGGCTAAATTGACTGTTGATAGAATATTCCGTATTAATAGGGGTTGAATTGCTCTTTTAGTCTTCACATTATAATAATTTTTCAAAGAAATACAAGGTTAAACTATGTGTAGTGGGTCATTAAAATCCCAGAAGGGATTATTTTTCTTCATATGTGAAACACTGTTATCATTGTGTCTTTACTTAGTTTTTCAGGGTATTCATTTCTCCTTTCATCTTAAAGCACATTTCTCTAAGCATATTTTCTGCTTCATTCTCATGCTTCTGATTTGATGTATTCATTTACCCTCTAAAGTTCAAATATTGAGCTTTGTAGCTAGGCTTTGAGTCACTATAATAAAAAAGAGAGATCAGAGAGTTTTCTGGGCCTCACTGCAACCTCAAACTAACCCAGGATGTGTTCATTTTGCAGCTCTGGGAGCAGTTCCGTCTCCTGTTGACTGTTACCTCTGCAATCGAGGTCTGAAGACTCTACAAATTAGAATGGAAAAACATTTCAAAAATGGAATGGCAGTTGCTCAGTTCTTGGAATCTAATCCTCGGGTAGAAAAGGTTATTTATCCCGGTATGTGAACTCGATTTCTTTCTTTTTTTTTTCTTTTTTTGAGAGATTTTTGCTTATGGGGCATGTGTACTCGTTGGAAACACAGAGAGAGACTGAGAGAGGGAAAGTTAAGAAATCATCCCCTGGGGGTGATGACCATGCCACAGTCTCTTCTTTTCCATTCTCCTCTCAGGATTTTGGGCACACATGCACACGTGCCCAGCATGATTTTGAAGCCACTGGGTCTGGACTCAAACCTTGGTTGGCCATGTGGGAGTCCAGTGCCTTAACTGCTACACCACTTGCTGGCCCCTGAACTTAATTTCTAAGAGATGTTTCTACAGTAGGAATTTAAGAGCATCCTGTTTACATAACATTTGTAAGCTAGGTGCTTTCCTATATTTTTATGTTCACTTGTTGTTAATCACTACTGTTTGACAGGCTCTGTGGTGGGTCTGGTAGAAAGAAGCTGGACGTGGACTTTCACCTGGTCTCGTTGATAGTCTAGTGGATGCTTTGATAATAGAAAGCTGGTTTTATTTATTAGATTTTCCTGTGACCATCTTTAGATTGAAGGTCTTGCATACATATTCCAAGCCTGCAAATTTAAACTTTTCGGTTGATTTGTTTATAACCTTGTCAGTCTGCTATTTAACCTTACTAGTAACTTTGATCTGATAGAGGTTTGTCCAATGCTGAGATTTGATACTTATGCACCAAAATTCCCCTGAGGCTCTTTCACTTCCTTTTTGATTTTCTTCAACTCTTCCAGCATCTAGAAATGCTCTTGTGGAGTTAGTAGACTTCCATGTTACTCTTAGAATTTATTTTATCAGTCTTTTAAACAGCTAGAGTAGTCTTAAATGAATAGGTTTTCTAGTTTTTGTTTTGTTTTGGCCTTTTAATTTATTATTATTATTATTACTATTATTGTTCTTTTGTGGTATCTAGACGTGAGTCTCTGTTATACAAAAGAATTATGGGAAGTCCCTGGCCTCAAGGAACTTAGATGAACAAAGGCAGAAATATATATGAGATGAAATGCCCTGTAGGTAGTCTAGGTAAAAAGCTGTTGACTGCTGTGTATTTGGGAAGGAGCAAAGAAGAGTTTTGAGCTGTGCCCTGAAGAGTGAGTATCATTTGTTAAAAGGACCTAAACAAGTCATTTCAAATTCATTTGACAAAGGTCACTAATTATCAGTTACAGACCAGGTTTTGTACTAGGAACTGGGATCCAGTTATTAAAAAAAAAATAAAATGAATTTGCTGTCATGGATGGAGCCAGTCTGGTGAAGAGGGCAGATATTCCACAAGAAATTACAGGTGGATCTAGTGAGCAAATGGAGACCAGGGCAGGGCGGCAGCATATGAAAGCATATGATGAAATGAAGTGCAGTGCCACTCATGTAAAGCAAGCTGGTGTGGCAGGAGCATGGAGAGAGTAGAAAAGATACATCAGTACACAGCTGAGGAGCCTGACGTGAACGTAACGTAAATCTCATTATTAGGCCTATTTGCAGTTTCTGTAAGTGGACTGAAATTTTTTTCCTCTGAAATTACATGGTTGCCTCTAAAACAACTTTGATTGTATCTTACAATTACAGGGCTGCCTTCTCATCCTCAGCATGAGTTGGCAAAGCGTCAGTGCACTGGTTGCCCAGGGATGGTCACCTTTTATATTAAGGGCACTCTTCAGCATGCTGAGACTTTCCTCAAGAACCTGAAGGTAAAGTTTCAGAATAGGTTTCTAAAGTATCCCATTATGATCTTGTTTATCTCTCACTTCCTCCCAACACAGAAAAAATATATATATTTATATAAATATTTATATTAAATTTATATATATATATAAAAATATTAAAAAATATAAAAATAAAAAAATATATATATATTTGAGAGGTTTTTGCTATAGGGTGCGTGCACTCGCCAGAAAGACAGAGAGAGACAGAGAGACAGAAAGCGAGAAATCACCCCCCCGGGGGATGGCCACGCCACAATCCCTTCTCCTCCATTCTCCTCTCGGGATCTTGGACACACATGCACACGTGCCCAGCGTCAGTTTAAGCCACCGGGTCCGGGACTCGAACCGCAGTCGACTAAATGGGAGTCCAGTGACATAGCCATTATGTTAACTGCTGGTACCGAAAAAATATATATTTTTTAATCTGTAGGTCATCCCTGTAAATGTCTTTATCATGGAATTGGGTAAAAATGATTCAAACAACAATGGCAGATAGCAGGCATTTGACTATGTTCATTTACTTACCTCTCCACATACTATGATCAATTCGAGAGGGACAGAATGTTCTAATGCATTGGTTTTCAAATTTGTTTAAAAGTGAACCCTTGTAAAGATGAACTAATATGTGAAACCTCAAGGTAGTGTACAGTTTGTGGACTGTATAAAGGCTCTTCTGAACTACATGCTTTCCAAAACCTGTGCCTCTCAGGCTGCATATGGCTAAGAGCGAGGGAAGGGGAGGCCTTTGTCTAATGGCCATAAAGGCACAGGCTCAGAGAGGCCCTGGGTAAGAAGTCTCTGTTACTCTGAACACTGGGCTTACCTTGACCTCATGCAGTAAGTAGACTTTGAGGTTTAAATGCTGTAAATCTAATGAATAAAATGCTGAAAGATTAGTTAAGAACCCCTTGGTGTCACAGATTTGCTCACCTAGAAATTCAGTAAGATAATAATATATGTCTAATATATTTTGAGACTAATTTATAGAATGTGTAAAATTTTGTTACACCATAACACTAAATACAAAAACTGAGTTTTTCCTATTCTGGTAGAGTTACATGAATATATTAATTTAATGAGTGATACATATTAATAAATAAGTGTGTATAACTTTGTAGACATTTAGAGATTTTTTTGTTTAAAGGGTGAACACTGAACTAGGTCTCAAATGTAATTATTTCAAGGTTTTAGAGCTCATGGTAAATCTTACTTAAGTATAGGCTAGTAGAAAGATATAGGAGAGTCAATTTTTTTTTTTTTTTTTTGAGAGGTTTTTGCTATAGGTCATGTGCACTCGCCAGAAAGACAGAGAGAGACAGAGAAACAGAAAGTGAGACATCACCGCCCTCCACCCCAGGGGGCGAGGGGAGGGCCATGCCACAATCTCTTCTCTTCTATTCTTCTTTCGGGATCTTGGACACGCACGTACATGTTCCCCTACGTGAGTTTAACCCACCGGGTCTGGGACTCGAACCGTGGTCGACTACATGGGAGTCCAGCGAGGTAGTCATTACGCCAACTGCTGGTCCCAGGAGAGTCAATCTTTTAATGTTTTAAAAGTTTAAATATGTCTAATTTGTGAAGTTACTGTTTTAGACTCTATTTTCATGTTTTCTCTGAATTTCTTGCCTAATATTTAGTTTATTCATAATTACCACAATTGCCTTCCCCTGTGGCCAGGCCATTTCATTAAATCATTTACTTTTAGATTTTAGTATTTTTATTTTACTGGACTATCTAAATTCATGTTTTCTTTATTACAGTTATTTACTCTAGCTGAGAGCTTGGGAGGATATGAAAGTCTTGCTGAGCTTCCGTAAGTATATTTTTATTTTTCTCAAGTGTTTTTAATTTGGTGTTAGCCTTAATGATTAAAAGAGTAGTAGGATAAAATGGGGGATAATTTGCATATTTAATAAGAATAGCATGGCACTAACTACTAATCACAGTGGACTCTAACCCAATTGGGGTGGAGACCTTGATAAAAATCTCATGTGGACCTGCTTATCAGTGAGCTATGGCCTTGCCTCCTTCCCTGTTCTGCTTTAATGGGATTCCAGTAGTAATTGCATTCTAGGATCTCTGACCTCTGACCCTGGGCCACAGTGCTACCCAACACAGTGCCTCGGAAGGGTTCTTGGAGACTTTTGGAATAGCTGTTTTCAAGGTTCCTTAGAAAACAGAGAATGCCTCTGGTGAAACTCCTTCAGGCCCTTTATTGTCAGAGAAGAGCCTAGCAGATAATGTCAAGTCTACATATTTTCTTTTCTCTGTGGGGTAAACCTTTAATGGCTCCAACTTGTCTACAAGATGAATCCAAACTCTAACTTGGTTTCTAGGACTTTCATTATCTGACTCAATTTGTCTATTTTTAAAGAGAATAATTCATTTTATTTTACTTATTATTATTATTTTTAATTTGATGAGAGAGAGAAAGAGAAAGAGAAAGTGAGAAAGCAAGCCGCCAGGTCTGGGACTCGAACTGTGCTCAGCCACGTGGGCGTCCAGCCTCTTAACTACCACACCCCCAATTTGTCTATCTTTATCAAAGCACAAGAGAATATTAGAACAGGAATCAAAACAAGATTGTGAAGTCCAACAGCTTATTTTACTGACTAGGAAACAAAGATCCTGAAAGCTTAGCTGAGGTACTTAAATGCCACACGGGAATATACTAGTGACCTCATTCTTGAAGCTTTGCATCCAAAACAATGCAGAGAGGTAAGGTAGCCTGGATCTGAATTTGAGCCCCACTTCTACCAATTACTTAACCATTAAGCTTCAATTGTTTTCGTCTATAAAAAGGGGTTAATGATTAAAATGATGTTTATCACTTATTGATTGCCTGTTCCACCAAGCATTCCAGAACTCTATCTTGCCTTTATGTCTGTTGCCGTGGCCATGCATTATGATCATTGCAGCGGTAGAGAGTGCACTCCCTGGTCATTTCCAACTGTACTAAGTGCACACGGTATGCTTCTGTGTTTTAATTTGCAGAGACATTTATGAACTGTTGAGGTCCATGAAGCATTATGTTGACAAATGTCAAGGATTACCAAAATGTAGGCATATTTTCTGCTTTCTCATAATGGTTGACAGTTAGAGGGAGAGTTGGGGTAATCTCACAAAGCTAAAAAAAAAAAAAAAATGGTGATACCCAAATAATGATTTGAATTCATTCAGATTACCAAGACAGCTTTTTGTTAGTCTTCCCAGAAAATGCCTGCTAGTGAAGTCTGGATGCACAAGAGGGCACACTCAGGATACGAAATGGCTTTATTTTTCATAGTAATGAAATGCATATTACTTTAAAAATAGACCTCTCCTGATTTATTTAGGGATTTGGTTTAAAGTTGCTTGGCCCTCAGACACTCCGGCTATGGCTGTAACGGTGATGCCAGTGGATGAGTGAATTTAGGTCAGGGCTCGTCTGTTCTGTCACCCTTGGTTCTGTGTCCCCAGCTCTGCTGCAACTAGTGCAGCATTGCAATCAGGGAGGGAGGAAGTGACGCTGACGTGGACTAGGCTAATCTCCCCACCTCTCAAATATTAGCTTGTGACCTTAGAGAAGTTATTTATTCTCTAAATCTCAATTTCTTCCCATGTAAAACGTGGATGACACTGTACCTAGCTCTTAGGATGGTTGTGAGAACATGAGAAAAAAATCTGTAGGCTAATGCCTTGGTTCAAACTAAGTACTCAATGTAGGTTAACTACTACTATGATTATAATTGTAATTCCATGTACTTGTAAGTCCTTTATATATGTTCCTTCACTTGAGGCCTGTGACAGATTTTGAGGCAGGTGTTATATTCAAAAAATGAATGCACACAAATTACCTAACAGAGTACCCACTTCAATGACAAGCATGCAATAGATGCTATCTACTATTATTTCAGGTAAGGAAATAGACACAAAGGATAGGTAACTTACAAGGTCACACAGCCAGTAGGATTCATCCCCGAATCTCTGAGGTCTAAGTATTTATTTTAACATGTGCAGTCTCTTATAAAGAATTAAGAGCCTTGAGACCAGCAGTTGACAAAATGGCTATGTTGCCAGACTTCCATGTAGTCGACTACGGTTTGAGTCCCAGACCCAGTTAAACTCATGCCGGGCACGTATGCGTGCGTGCCCAAGATCCCGAGAGGAGAATGGAGGAGAAGGGATTGCGACGTGGCCGTCCCACCTGGGGTGGTTTCTCACTTTCTTTCTGTCTCTCTCTGTCTTTCAGGTGAGTGCATGCACCCTATAGCAAACAAAACAAAACAAAAAACTAATCCCCCCCAAAAAGAATTAAGAGCTTGACAGAGCTGAACACTTTAAGGAGGATGTTTATGTATGTTTATGTATAAAGCTTCATTAGAGTGATAAAGAGGATAACTGTTTACTCAGACCACTATTAAGATTTTCTTCCCATTGGTCTGAAGTGAGATAGAAGACAGCCAGCTCAGTCATTGGATTTGCTGGTGGTGTGCAGGGAAAGGAAGAATGTTGGTGGCAATACGTGTATTGGAGCTCAGTAAGACTGTACGTCTCTCTTTCATGAGGCCTCAGTTCACAGAGATTTCTCCTTCCTCTCAACTCTAGCAGTAATTTGTCCAATTGCATTTGCTGGAGATTATTATGTTTAGTAAATGGTTATAGTCTTTAGCTCCTGCCTTGTTATCTAGAGTAAAGGAAACACCTTGTTTCTCTTGGTTTCTCAATTCTTACTGTAGAGTTTGACACACAATAGGTGTTTTACCTTTCCACGCGCTGATGATGATGAGTCATTAGATACTTTAGAAAAACCTTCAAGGCCTCTATGTCACAGGTTATATACTGGAATTCCTGACGCTCAGTGCTTACTACCAGTGGCCCTGGGTGGTCTTTTCATGATCTTCCTCAGAAGGTTCAGTTCCAGATTGATCCATTGATCCAGAGGGAATTAATTACATTCTTGGTCCAAGAGACCTCAGATAAGTAACTTTCCAGCAGGTTGTCCAGCAGGTGGGATATCTGACTGCAGGTGGGGTATGTGACTTTTGGAGACACT